GAAAAATTATATCTCAAAAGGGCAAAAAGATGTCTGATTTATTCTGCATTCTGATTATTATCTTTTATATTGTCACATTTTTTTCCCTGATAAGCAAAAATAAACACTTAAAACGAAAAGGTTTACACATTATGTCACTGTTTGTTTGATTCTAGAATAAGTGACATCTACATCAGATATAATTTCTGTTTTACTCTAGCAAACTTATAAATCCATTTCATGTTTTAAATATTAAATAGTTACTTAATAACACAAATTCTTAAACTGACCAGATTTTTGAAAATCTAACATTTGAATTCTTGACGTGCTACGTATTTCCTTACGGATGTTCACCTGTCCTCTAAGTAAATTTGTCTATTTCTGATACGAAGCACAGTCAATATGAATATCAATATCAATCAATATGACATCTAAAAAGGTACTCACCGAAAGACATATTTGCAAAATATTATAATATTATGAAATATGTTCGTGCTTTACTGCCATTAGTGTTATTTCGTCTGGAAACTGCAGTAAATTGCATGTATAGGTACATTTTTGGGAGTTTTGCAAGATAAAAAAAAAAAAAGTATGTCTTTCCAATGAGCTTATGTTGGGGAAATCCTTGTTTGTTTTGGAAAAAACCCTGGCTATAGATGGATGGTCACACTATACATGATTCTGTTGTTTCTTCATACATCTTTGCTAGAATGAAAATCAGCTAAAATGCTCATTCTATGTCACTGGATTTGTGCTATGTGCATTATGATGATTGATAGTAAGAATTTAATTAGTAAAGTAGATTTGTTTTTTTTCCCACCTTTTTACAACACCATATTTAATATGTGTATTTGTTGATAAGCTTTGTAATCAATAACAACAGCACACAGAGAAATCCTTCAGGTAATTAACTATGCATGAAATACACATCCTGTGTGTATTAAGTGCCATAAACCCATCACCTCCAACTGACCACCACCATCACATCAAAATTATGACATTAGTGGGATGCATGTCTGTATTCAAATCCTGCTCTCAAGATTTAAAAACACTCCAAACATTTATATTTAATGTGTCGACAAGGTCAGGCCAAACCAATAGTCGATGTTCAATCATTATGAGATTTGAATTTAAAGAGCTTTGGCCTCCTGGGTGACAGAGCGTGGAGTCAGTGGTGTGGTTAAGCCCCGGGCTCAGGAGGGCCCGCAGGCCTGTTTAACTCTCAGGACCATGATTAATTCATAGTGGATTATGTGCTGGGTGCAGCAGGGGCACCGCTGGGCTCCTTCACACTAAAACCACACACTGCAATGAGATAAAGGCTTTTCCCCCAGATAGCAGGCTCAATTTGATACCCGTCTTCCTTGCCTCCATACCTGTGAAGGATTCCCCCCACATACACTCCCCACTGAGAGTCAAATCACTGAATCTCATCTGACTCTTTTGTTTTTCCCAGACTATGAATTGAGATATGAAATGAGATGAGTTCAGCGATGAGTTAGTCTCTGTTGAACTTGTTTCTCCATATATCTATTGTCGCAGGTGACAAGGTGTTGCTTTGCATGTCTAATGCCATCTTTTAAGATTTTTCATGTTTCTTGGATTCCAATGAATACTTGTATGACACAAAAATACTGTCAATTTGTGATATAGTCAGTCAAATAGGTGCTATAAAAAATTATATTAATGTTCTAAAATACAAACAAAACAAAACTTTTGATGAAGCAGCCCAATTATGACTTAATATATATATATATATATATATATATATATATATATATATAATAGTAAAAAAAAAAA